CTTAATTTCTTTTACCTTTTTCACCCAGCCTCCCAACCGCCCTCCTCTCTAACATCTGTCAATCTGTTTTCTGCATCTATGAGTCTGTTTCTTTTCTTTTCTTTAAATTCATTTTATGTTTTTTATTTCCTAGGATACATTTCCAAAATCAAAAGACTCTATACTATTTTAATATTACTAAATTGCAGGCCAGAAAGATTTTACCAAAATAACCTTCCACTGGGTGACCAATTTTTTTGTATTATTTTTTGTTTGTTTTTCCCCCCCTCATTATTTTAATTAATTTATTTACTTTTTCTTGCTTGTAAAATAGTTACCTTTATTTATTCATTAATGTTCCTTTATTGTTGAGACTATTTCAAATGTCCCCTTTTTAACCTCACTGATCCCTTCCACCCCATATCCATCCACCCCCAAGCTTTCCCCATACCAATGTCTGTGTCCATGGGTTATGCTTATAAACATATAAGCTCTCTGATTAATATCTCCACACCTACACCTCCTCCCCGCCTTCCCTCTGAGATCCCTCAGTCTGTTCCATGGTTCTATGTCTCTGGATCCACTTTGTTCATCAGTTTATTTTATTACATTCCATATATAAGTGAGGTCCTGTGGTACTTGTCTTTCTCTGACTGGCTTATTTCATTTAGCTTAATACTTTCTAGTTCCCTCCATGCTGTGCCAAAGGCTAAAAGGTCCTTCCTCTTTACAGCTGCGTAGTATCCCATGGTGTAAATGTGCCACAGCTTTTTTATCCACTCATCTACTGATGGGCACTTGGGCTGTTTCCAAATCTTAGCTATTGTAAATTGTGCTGCTATGAACATAGGGGTGCATAAGTTCTTTGTGGTTGGTGATGGAGGTTCCTTAGGATATATTCCTAGAAGTGAGATCACTGGGTCAAATGGCAGGTCAATTTTTAATCTTTTGAGGAAACTCCATACTGTTTTCCATAGTGACTGCACCAGTCTGCATTCCCACCAGCAGTGTACTAGGGTGCCCTTTTCTCCACACCCTCGCCAGCACTTGTAGTTTGTTGACTTGTTGATGGAGCCATTCTGACAGGTGTGAAGTGATACCTCATTGTGGTTTTAATTTGCATCTCTCTGATGATTAGCGACGTTGAGCATTTTTTATGTCTCTTGGCCATCTGTATGTCCTCTTTGGAGAAGTGTCTATTTAGGTCCTTTGCCCATTTTTTAATTGGATTGTTTGTCTTCCTTTTGTTAAGTTCCTTATATATTTTGGATATTAACCCTTTATCAGATGTGTCATTGGCAAATACGTTCTCCCATACAGTGGGCTCCCTTTTTCATTTTGTTGATGGTTTCTTTTGCTGTACAGAAGCCTTTTATTTTGATGCAGTCCCATTTGTTTATTTTCTCCTTAGTTTCTCTTGCCCTAGGAGATGTATCAGCAAACATATTGCTATGAGAGATGTCTGAGATTTTACTGCCTATGTTTTCCTCTAGGATTTTTATGGTTTCATGTCTTACATTTAAGTCTTTCATCCATTTTGAATTTACTTTTGTGTATGGTGTAAGTTGGTGGTTAATCTGCCAATCTGTTTTCTGCATCTATGAGTCTGTTTCTATTTTGTCTGTCAGTTTATTTTGTTCATTAGATTCCACATATACATAAAATCATAAGTTATTTGTCTTTCTCTGACTGGTTTATTTCATTTAGCATAATACTCTCCAGCACATTCCATGCTGCTGCAAAAGTTAAGATTTCCTTCTTTTTTACAGCTGAGTAGTATTCCATTGTGTAAATGTACCACTCCTTTTTTTATCCTCTCATCTACTGATGGGCACATGGGCTGCTTCCAAATCTTGGCTATTATAAATAATGCTGCAATAAACATAGGAGTGCATATATTCTTTTGAATAAGTGTTTAGGGTTTCTTTAGATATATTACCAGAAGTGAAATCACTGGGTCATAAGGCAGTTCCATTTTTAATTTTTTGAGGAAACTCCATACTATTTTCCACAGTGGCTGCACCAGTCTGCATTCTGACCAACAGTGCATGAGGGTTCCCTCTTCTCCCCATTTTAGCCAGCACTTGTTGTTTGTTGATTTATTGATGATAGCTGTTCTGACAGGTGTAAGATGATATCTCATTGTGGTTTTAACTTGCATTTCTCCCATGATTAATGACACTGAGCATCTTTTCATGTCTGTTGGCCATCTGTATGTCCTCTTTGGAGAAGTGTCTACTAAGGTCCTTTGCACATTTTTTAATTGGATTTTTGTGTGTGTTTGTGTTGAGTTTTATAAGTTCTTTATAAATTTTGAATATTAACCCCTTATCAGATGTATCTTTGGAAAATATGTTCTCCCATTCAGTGGATTATCTTTTCATTTTGTTGATGGTTTCCTTTGCTGTGCAAAAGCTTTTTAGTTTGATGTAGTCTCATTTGTTTATTTTTTTCTTTTATTTCCTTTACCTGAGAAGAAACATCAGAAAAAATACTGCTATGAGAAATGTCGAGGTTTTGCTGCCTGTTTTCTTCTAGGATTTTTATGGTTGCAAGTCTAACATTTAAGTCTTTAATCCATTTTGAGTTTATTCTTGTGTATGGTGTAAGAAGGCTGTGTTTTTTTGCATGTGTCTGTCCAATTTTTCTAACACCATTTATTGAATAAACTATCTTTACCCTACTGTATGTTCTTACCTCCATTGTTGACTATTAATTGGCCATAAAGGCATGGGTTTATTTCTGGGCTATCTATTGTGTTCCATCGATCTATATGTCTGTTTTTATGCCAGTACCATGCTGTTTTGATTACTATGGCCTTGTAATATAGTTTGGTATCAGGTAGCATGATTCCTCCAATTTTGTTCTTCTTTCTTAAGGTTGCTGTGGCTATGCAGGATCTTTTGCATTTCCATATAAATTTTTGGATTATTTGTTCTAGCTCTGTGAAATATACCATTGGTATCTTGATAGGAATTGTGTTGAATCTATAGATTGTTTTGGGTAGTATGAATATTTTAATGAGGTTAATTTTTCCTATCCATAAATACTTATTTATATCTTCAATTTCTTTGTGTAAGTGTATGCTTACACTTATTTGTATCTTCAATTTCTTTCTTCAGTATCTTATAATATCCGAGTATAGTCAAACCTCAGTCTGTCTCCCATCTCAAACAATTCAGAAAAAGTCTCCATTTTCAGACAAAACTTCAGGTCTCCCACTGACAGCCCTTTCAAACTGAAACATAAGCATGACAAAAAGTATCTCTCAGACCACTAACAAAGGAGAGCTAAACCTTGCATTGTTTACATCTCAGGAAATTGTGCTGTGAATATTTTTGAGTTTTCGGGTTTTTGTTTTTTTGCTTTTGTTGCTGGTATAATGGAAGATAGGCACAATTTTAAAACATAAAGAGGCCATCAAGAGTGCTGATGTTGCTAAGGGCGTGAAAGTGCTCATAAAACAATATCACAGGTAATTGAAGAGGTAGAAAAACTGTTGTTGATTTGGATAAAGGAAAAGCTGTTAACTAGCAGGTGACAGCATTTCTGAGGCATTAATAAGTGAAGAAGCAAAGAGTGCTGAAAGTGATTTAAGGCTAGTAGGTGGTGGTTCGATAAATTTAAGAAGTGTTTGTTTATAGATTAAACAGTGCATTAGACATGTACTATGTATAAGAAAGGTTAAAACAGAGAATCATTTAGAGGTCTAAAACAGATTAATTCAACTTACATTATTTCTAATGGGGGGTGGAAATGATTCGGTTTTCAAAAGAATTGCTTCCGGAATGAATTAAGTTTGAGAACTAAGGTTCCACTGTACAGGTCTTTTACATCTTTGGTTAAATTTATTCCAAGGCTTTTTTATTTTATTTTATGAAATTGTAAATGGGATTGTTTTCTTAGTTTCCCTTTCTTATCAGTTCATTATTGGTGAGTAAAAATGCAACTGATTTCTGGATATTTAGTTTGTATCCTGCTACTTTACTGAATTTATTTATCAGTTCTAGTAGTTTTTTGTGAAATCTCTGGAGTTCTCTGTAGTAATATGTCATTTGCAAATAAAGTTTTACTTCCTCCTTTCTAATTTGGATGCCTTTTATTTCTTCTTGTCTGATTGCTGTGGCTGAGACTTCCAGTACTAAAAAGAGTGGTGAAAGTGGACATCCCTGTCTTGTTCCTGATCTTAAGAAATGCTTGTAGTTTTTGCCCATTGAGTATGATGTTGGCTGTGCGTCTGTCATATATGGCCTTTATTATGTTGAGGTATGTCCCCTCTATTCCCACTTTGCTGAGAGTTTTTATCATAAATGGGGATTTTATCAAATGAGTTTTCTTCATCTATTTATATGATCATGTGATTTTTATCCCTAATTTTGTTTATGTGGTGTGCCATGTTTATTGATTTGTGGATATTATACCAACCCAGGAATAAAGCCCTTAATCATGGTGTATGATCTTTTTAATGCATTGTTGCATCTGGTTTGCTAATATTTTGTTGAGGATTCTGGCATCTATGTTCATCAGGGATATTTGCCTATAATTTTCTTTGTAGTATCCTTATTTCGTGTTGGAATTAGGATAATGCTGGCCTCATTAAGTGAACTTGGAAGTCTTCCATCCTCTTGAGTTTTTTGGAATAGTTTGAGGATAGGTGTTAGTTCACCTATGAACATTTGGTAAAAGGAATTCTTAATTTTTTCTATAGGGAGAGAACTGATATGGGACCTGCACTAAGTATAGGACATAAATTATTAAATAACAAGAGGATGCAATATATACATTAAAATAAGTTTTTAAATCACTTCTAGTGATGTGAAAATGCCAACACTTTAATTAATAGTGTGTGTGTAAGAGAATATTAGCCAGCTATTTTAAAAATATAGAGATAGATAGATGATAAAAGATTAAAAGGAAACTTTTAAAAACTTTCTATGAAATTATCTTATCTATGCAATTATAGTATTTATTTTTTCTGTGGAAATATAATTTTTCAAGAAAGATGAAAACAAATACCATACCATTATCATCGTTTTCTTATGGTGCTTCCTTAGAAATGCCTTGTATTTTTCCAATTTTCCTTGAGGACCTTTAAAAAAAGAATTCACAAGATACATATGTGTGTTTGTTTGTATGTGTATACACATATATGTCTCCTTTAAAAGTGAAAAAGATTTAGCCCAGCCAGGCATGGCTCAGCGGTTGAGCATCAACCTAGGATCCAGGAGGTCGGGGTTCGATTCCTGGTCAAGGCACATGCCTGGGTTGTGGGCTCAATCCCCAGTAAGGAGTGTGCAGGAGGCAGCTGACCAATGACTGTCTTATCATTGATGTTTCTGTCTCTTTCTCCCTCTCCCTTCCTCTCTGAAATCAATAGGTATATTTTAAAAACAAAGTAAAAAAGATTTAAATACTTTAAACAAAATATATATAAAACTATTCAATGGGATCAACAAGCTACTTTGATAAGCATAGTGCTAGACACACAAACTCTTGTTGAATGAGTAAATAACTATTATATCTTCTGTTTCCTTTTGTTTTTTAGAAATGTCATGCTCCAACTAGTATGTCTTTAGTACTTACTCCTATATGTAAAGTTTTACATCAATCTCTTCTTACTGAACAAGCTCATGTTTTTCAAATAGCTTAGTCACTTGCACTGTGGTTTCATGGTCACCTTAAATTCCAGAATGTACAGGACTTTGGAGCATGACCCAGTGAAATACTATGGGGGCTCTAAAGTCAGTTAACCTAGAGTTGAGTCAAGCTCTGATATTTACATATTGAGGTCAATTAATATACATAAAATTAGTTTTTTAAAGTATGCACATGTGCACTTTCTCTCTCTTAAATACATATATATGTACATTTCAAAAATATTTTTATATTTAAAAAAAATCCAAAATTAAATAAGAAAATTTAAAATAAAACAGTAGTAAATTTAAAAGTTGTGTATTTAAACACATTCTCAGAATTTGAAAAATGGAGGTCCATAAAAGAATATTAAGTATCTAAATTATATGTCTAATTAAATTTATTTAATACGTAGAAAATACATTATAAGTATAACCAATATCAGCATTTTTAAGGCTTGTTTATGATGTTTACTCATTAAATAAAAAGACAAGGATCACCATCAGTATCTAAAACTTTAGTATCTGAAAGTGTTGATTAGATAATAAAAAAGTTATAAAAATACTGAAAAGAAGTAAAAATTACCATTACTAGCAGATATGCTTTTTTACTCAGCCTGCAGCTATTCTGTACTGAATGCTAATTACTCCCTTCCTACAAGCTAACCCAGCTCATGTAGATCCACTCTTATCCTGTTTACTTTGAGTTTAGGTATTTATGTTCTTATACCCTAACTCTTGCTGGCCTGCTTGTCTCTGGTACCAATATCAGTTGATGCAGTCTTGTTTCCCTGATATTTGGGACCTCTGTTCCAGCTTAACAAAGTTCCCAGCTATTTGAGGTTTTGTCCTAGCAATACTTTCATTGAATCCACATGTTGATGTTCAACTAAAAATCTGTACTGGACCATTTTGAAATGAAGAGCTTTAAAAGAAAAGGAAATATTACGTTTTTAGACATTTTATACCTTAGGATTTCATCCTTTATGAGACTACACACACAGAGATAGACAGACAGACAGACAGACAGACACACACACACACAACTGACCATTACTTTATTCATATAAAAATAAGGTTTACCTTTCCCAGGAATTACATTTTCCAACTTAAATATTTTAGAGGCATGTTTTTCCAAAAGAATTGCACAATCCTGTAATCTTGACTCCATGGCCATGGATGCATCATATAGTCGAGGAACATTTTCCCATAGATATGTATAAATTGAAGTAAATGAACTATCTTCTTTTATTTTATTCAGAGTGCTTGCCCATTTATTATTATCACTAAAATGGACTTCCCTTGGCCAATAATCCTGCAAAAAATGTTATCAAGTACAACTTAATAAGCTAAAATTGAGATTTTATTACATAGCATTATTTTTAAGTGTACTCTTAAAAAATTTTGAAACAATCATAAACTTTAGAAGTTTCAAATGCTTTATAAAAACCTTTTGTCCTGAATAATCTGAAAATAAGTTGCTTATCCACCATCCTTGAATATTTTAGTATTTCCTAAAAATAGACATATTATTCTATACAACCCAAATTACCCATCAAAATCAGGAAATTGCCATTGATACACTGGTTCCTATCTAATTCTCAGATCCTATTCAAGTTTCATCAACTGAACCCATAGTGTACTTTACAGCAAAAGGATCTAGTTCAACATTACACACTACATTTTGCTTCACAGTTCTTCAGTTACTCAGTCTTTCCTTTGTACTTAAAACCATGAGTTCACACTGGTATCTCTGATTCCAATTTCAAACATTCTAGTTTTCTCTCTTTCTGTATTATAATTATCATCTCCAACAGTGAAAAACCCAGGTGCTGTTACCTTTAATTTATGTATTTATTTTATCAATCTTTTCAGGTGCTCGTTAACCAATCTCTCCTATCTACTGATAGCCTCTCCTCCACTGGATGCCCTTCTCATCCTGCTGAGGCTCTGACACCCCTTGCCAGGCTGCTCACTCTACAGGGGTACCCTCCTCACCCCCACCTGGACTCTGACTTCCCCTATCAGGCCATAGCCTACCTACCGCCATCCAACACCACCCCCCATCCCTACCCCTGGCTACATGTGGGCACCATCCTCGTTCCCTTGGATTCTGACAGCTGTGGTGCCACATGGACACCCTCCTCACTGCGGCTGAGTGCAGACAGCTTGCTCTATGCTACCACAGTACATCCCCACCTCCCCTGACAATCTGGATGCCTGCCTTGTTTTGGCCCCCAAATGCTTTAGGACTAAATTGCTCAGGAACGGAAGAAAAGGAAGAAAAGAAAGGAAAATAATAGGGAAGGAAGGGGAATCACAACAATAATATTTGCAAGTCCAAATCCCAAGATTATCTTTCCATATAATCAATTAATAACAAAACAAAGAAAGTTAGCCAAAATAATTAAGGGTTTGTAAGTAAGAGAATGCCTTCTGGAATGGTAGGAAACTTGCACAGTGTGACAACTATTCCCTGAATAAAGAGAATGGAAATGAAGTAATTATTCTCTCATAAAGTGCCTTTGATCTTCTGTGAAAAACCACACTAAGGATCTGAATACCCTCCAGGTCTGTATTATATACCTAGTGGGCCTGTTAACAAAATCTGACACTGATGTCCTAAGAGAAGATGAATTAAAGTACTACCAGGTAGAAGTCACATGAAAGCAGAAAAAAAAAAAAAAAGACAAAGAATAAGAAATAAAAAGCAGGGAAGATCAAATGTGATAAATAGATAAGGAAAGATTGGAACCAGCTCTTCAGTGCCTAAGTAACTGAGCAGGAACAAAGCACTGATAGCACAGAGTAAGGCAGGAGGAGGGGGGTGACGCAACTTCCCCAGGGGCAGGAATGTTACTCTTTTTTGTTCACTGTTGTAGCTTCAGTGTCCAGAAGGTTACCTGGCAAACAGTGGGCAGTGAGTAAAAATTATTAAATGAATAAATGAATAGAATAAGTAAGAGAATTTATGACACATTAGTGGAACACAAGGGTGCCATAAAAAAGGTAAAAATCTTTTTATACAAACAAAAATGGAACTAGAATGTTGAAGAAGTGAAGGGGAAGAAATAAGAGAATGTGGGAATTGATCCACAGAGAAATGAGAAGTGATTGAAAGTAAGAAGGTGCACAGAACTATAACAAAGGATAGGAAGAGACCAGTAGAAGCTTTAAAATATTAAAGTTAGAGAAGAAAGATAGAAATGGTGGAAATTGACCAAAATAAGAGGGCTTTAGATGATGTAACGTAGGGCTTTAGCTAGTGTAGGTTCCAGGTACCTTTCTGATGCTAATTAGTGGCAGAGCTGGGATTTGAACACAGGCAATCTGGCAATCTGACACCAGAGCCTCTGATCTTAACTACCACACAACTATGCAGATACATACCTTTGCTTTTATATTTTAGAAAAAAAGAAAATTGAACAGAGACAGGTTTCCAGAAAGCCATGGTAGTTTGGGATGTATTTTAATTTCTCTTTTGTTTTATCCACTTGTTTGTTTATAAACATGCCTCATTTTAAAAAGAATGACGGAGTCATGAAGGCATGGACCTTTGCCCGTTTTTATTCACCGATCTGTTCTAAATGTCTATGTGCCTGACACAGAGAAGGTGCTCAAAAATATTTTGTAAATGAATTTGAGGAAGTTATTAGGATTTTAGTGTCCAGCAAAAAAAAAAAAAAAAGTTAAATATACAGTGATTTTATTCCTAGATGTTTTCAAATATGCAATAGTTTGGCAATGCATAGACATAGTCCAACCTTTAAAAAAACTACAGAATATAAGTATTTGGTTGGGAAATTTAGACAATAAGAAAAAATTTACAGAGAAAGCCATAAATGACAAAACTGGATATGTTGTTTTACCAAATGTTAGCCGATGAAAATGAAAGGCTATCAATGTAGACGCTGTCCTTTGCACACAAGGATGTTGCTTTAATTTTAGTCTCTCTCCGGTGAAGGGCTGACATAAACCTGTGATCTTGATTTGATTAGTATTGTTCTTAATTTGAACAGAGTGACTGTACATTTTCACTTCAAATAATTAGAAAATTTCATCTGAAATCATCGGTTCTCAAACACGTATGAGAGTATAGTCCAAATGTCCCTACAATTATTTGCTGAGTTTGGCTTAATTTAAACTATAATCCCTTTGTCTTGACATTAAAAAAGATCTGAAATACTGTGATTAGGCTACAGCATATTTTCATCATTATTTAAATTAAAATAGTTGCAAAAAGCTTGTCCAAAAAGTAGTTCAAAATTTCTCACTCTGCCACAGTGATTGAAATAAACTTTTGTAAAATAAGAACGCTTTCAGTTTCTATTTGCTCCTAAAGTGAACACAATCCTCTTTCAAAACATTTTTAAAAAATTATTTAAACAAATATAAGAACAGAAAATAAATAAATAAATAAAAAATTTAAAAAAAAGAACAGAAAATAGATATTTAAAAATAGGTATTTTTGAAACTCAATTGTGAACAGTTTAGTCACAGCAAATTCTGTTTACATTTCAGCATAAGTAAGTGCAAATTAAAGTCTAATCTACTCAAAGTATGTACACATCTCATTTAAAAAGCCTCCTGTTCTCTCTGCCTTCTACACTAACATCTTTTTCCCAGCCCTTGACACTCCTCAATGCAAAACAAACCTGACCTCCACATTCACAAGTGCATGAACCCAAGAGAAAACCCATACAACCCTAAGAACTCCAGAAATCAGTAGTTACACATAATGGAAACTGGAGTTTTCAACATAAAAACACATTTTAAATATTTTACTCTGATTCGATATCAAAGAACACCAATGCAACACCACTACCAATTACCTGAGTCTCAGCTGTGGTGAATGGACAAATGATGTAAGCAAGCATAACTGCCAGATATTCTTCAAGATGTAAGTATATTAGGCAAGAAATCTTACATTAGCAAAATTGTATAGAAATGGCCATATAATTCTTCTGATAGAACATTGGACTAGAATTTTTTAAAAGTGAAAAAGAATAGAATATTGGCAAGAGGAAATGGCTATAAGTTAGAGCTTACTGAAAGGAGGTAAATATTTATAAATGTTTCCCACATTGAAATATATTGACCACATTCATTGCAGTGTTATTTACAATAGCCAAGATTTGGAAGCAGCTCAAGTGCCTATCAGTAGATGCGTGTATAAAAAAGCTGCGGGACATTTACATAACGGAATACTACTGGGTCGTAAAAAAGAATGGAAATCTTCCCTTTTGAGACAGCATAGATGGACCTGGAGAGTATTATGCTAAGTGAAATAAGCCAGTCAGAGAAATAACAAATACCACATGATATCACTTATGTGTGGAACAAAATAAACAAACAAAATAAAAACAGACTCATAGATGGAGAACAGACTGATAGCTGTTAGAGGGGAGAGGGGTTGGAGGGCTGGGTGAAAAGGTGAAGGGATTAAACAAACAAAAAAACTCACAGATATAGTGATTACCGGAGGGAAAGGGGGTGGGGAATAGGCAGAAGAGGGTAAATGGGCAATAAATGGTGACAGGAGACTTGACTTTGGGTGGTGAACACACAACACAATATACTGATGATGTATTATAGAATTGTATACCTGAAACCTATATAATTTTATTAACCAATGTCACCCCAATAAATTCAATAAAAATTTAAAAAAGAAAGAAAATGTTACTCATAAGAATTTCTGTTCTTAAAGTCCTTTCCCAGCTCCATAACTGATATTTTGAAAGATGTATTGGCACAAAATAGGATTCTCTACTCACCCAATTTTGAAACTTTAAGAATTCTTCAATGTTCTTTGGAGGTTCTTGCGTTTCCTAATAAAGCAAAATCAATACTGTTCATTAACATAAATTCAGATTGTTTATAATGTTTATACATAATTTATTTAAATAAATAAAGATACTGAACTTGTTATAATTTTCAGAGCCATAAATATTGTAAAATATTCACTTTGTTGAGTCCCTGCACTTTGAAAAGTGACAGAGATCAATGCTTAAATTCTGTGCCTCCAAACCAAAGTCTGTAAAAGGCTTCCCTCTGACACACTGCTCCTAGAAAAAAGCTATACATGAATACACTCTGAATGTCCTCATTTCAAATTCCTACAAGACTTACAAGATATTTGGGGCTATCTTGGATGGTGTCTACAACAGATCCAGAGCCAAAAATATAACAACATGCCCCTCTTGCTGATGAATATTTAAAAAGCCACACTAGTGACATAGTGAAAGCACTTTAAATATTTGGATGTTTCAATGTAATAAATAATAATCCTATTTTTATTAGTAGTTTCTTTGTAAGTTAAAAATGCATCCTTTCATTAGAGAAATTAATTTCAATCAAGACCACATCCTGCTCTTCCTTGCTTTAGAGACCGTGTACAAATTCTTCCCACTGCTTAGAAGGCTCCCTGTCCCAAGCCCTCTCCCTCCAACCCATTCTTGGCTCATTTAACTCTTATTTCAAATATCAAATTAAAAGTCAGTTTTTCTAGGAGGCCTAAATTGGCCCCCAAAAAGGTTCTCTATGGTAACAGACAGCAGATTTATACCTTTATAAATAGAAACTATGGTGAAATCAGTGCTGAACTGTCAAAATTTCATACAGAGGCTGGCCCACGGCCAATGAATAATAAATACGTTCAGTGTGAATTAATTAATAAATAAATGAGTAGATGAATGTCAGAGAAATAAGTAGGTATTTAGAAAATTTTTAAATAAGAAAAAATTTCCAAAGAATGAAAAATCAGAGAGAGGACAATAAGAGAAATTCAGAAAATCCTATTATTATAATACCCTAATGGTCTGATGATATGTCTGAAAAGATTGCATTACATTTTAATTTACTAAAACATATTTCATGTCAGTTGATAAAATAATCAAGATTCCAAACTCACAAGGTGTGTTCTATAAAAATAACTACACATTTGAAGTTAAAAATAATATTTTATTCTCTTAATATTGTTTAAAACATATGATAAATATAAGTAAATATATAATAGATAATACAATAATCAAAAAATAAAGGATATATGTGACAATCATAAGAAACAAGTGTTCAGATACAAAGATGCACAGAGCTGTCAGGGAAATTTTATGAAAAGCATGAGTGTCTAGGCCTAGTGAGACTGAGAAAGAGAAGGTGCACAATGTGCATAGAGACAAAAAAATGTTCATAATATAATATCTTCAGGCATAGTGATTATAGTTGTTTGGCTAGAAAGAAGCTGTCAGTGTATTTTGAAATGGCCAAAATATAAAGGAGCCAAATAAAATCATTTAAATGTTGACTTTTTTCCTTGTAATGTCTGTCCAGTACAAGTCACTTCTAGTACAAAGCAGTATAAATAATATCCACATTTCAACTGAAGGGAATTAGAAAATGAATTAAGGAAGTAAAATTTTTGTAGGAAAGTTCCAGCTAATTTCAATATAAAATTCCAAAGTTCTCAGTTAAAAGGAAGTGAGGCTATTGTTAGGATGTAGAAGGATGCAAAACACCTATGCTTCCATGGTAACAAGAAAAACCTGGAACAAATAAAAATCTTACCTTTCTATGGGATTAGTGAAGAGTGGAGAATGCCAGTAAGCAGGAACGGTTATATAATTAGTGACAATGCAGAATCCCTTGTTTAAAAATTATTAAGAATTTTAATATGGTAACATCAGACCATTAAAGCAAGTGTGGTGCTGTCTAATCATGAGGCCCTTGCAGCTGCACAGGTGGCAAGCCCATGAAGCTGCCTTACCTGGAAGGCTTAATGACCTGTAATCCAGGGAGAAATGTGCCCTTTATAAGTGAGCACAAAGCTGTGGCAGCTTCCTTACCCAGGAGTAAAGTCTGTGTTGGCCTGCCATGATTCAGTAGCAGAGATGAAGAGAAATAGCTGAGCTTTAGACCTCAGTGGGAGCTGGGGGAACACACTGGAGTCTGAAAGAAACCCAAAAGCAAAAAAAAATTACCCCCACATCTCACTTCTGAATTTTGTCAATAAATGAAGCAACTGTGGAGGAGGGGCTGGGAAGTTAGAGAATTTATATAGGCCAGTGCATTATTACAGTACTTGGGTTCCAAGGCCCTGACAGAATTGACTCCAAAGGTGAGCCAAAACATTTAAAACTTCAGTCCAAACCTGTTCCAATGAAATACTAACAAGATATAAGAGGTGGCTATGAAGAGGGAAGTTGGAGGTGGGTTAATCACAGGTTAACTCAATCTAATGAAAGCTGCAGCCAACATTAAAGCTCAAGTCTAGGAAGGTTTCAAAGGAATAGTCTCGCACTCTACATGCCAAGGTAAGAAAAAGGCTTGCGCTCTCTCAGAACTAAAGTAAGCTTCAGCCCCCACATTTTTTTTTCACATAATGTCTAATACACAAAAAGCAATTATAAGACATACAAAGAAGTAGGAAAATGGGACCCATAATCAAGAGAAAATAGTTAATACAATTTACTGAGACTACAGTAATTGTAATTAGTGTATAAGGACTTTAAAACAACTATTGTAAGTATGTTAAAGGTTTTATAACATACATTGGGTTACAGTTCATGAAAAAATGGGATATTTCAAGAGAAACAGAAATTCTAATACGAAACTAATAAAATTTTAGAACCATGTTAACACTAATAAGGAAACTGGTGTGTTTATATTAATATCAGACAAAGTAGTTTTACCAGACATAAATAAGGTTATTTCATATTGATGAAAGGTCAGTTCAGTAAGAAAACACACAAGTGCTAAATGTGTTTGCATCTAATAAAAGAGCTTCAAAATAAATGTAGCAGAAATTGATAAAACTAAAGGGAAATATTGTCAAAACCACAGTTATATTTGGATATCTTAACACATCTCTCTGAGTAATTGATAAATCAGGTCCATACACAAATCAGTAAGGAGATAAAAGGTTTGAAGGACGTTATCCAGTAACTTAACCTAATTGACATTTATAGAACATACACCTGCAGAATACACAATCTTTTAAAGTAATGCAACAGGCAGCGCTCACCACAATGAAGCTATGCTAAATTGTTTATGAGAAATATTGGCTTGAAAATTTCTTTATTATAATGTCCTTGTTAAGATTTGGAATTAAGGTTATTCTGACCTCAAAAAAACAAAACAAAACTTGAGTTGGGTAATGTTTTTTCTATTCTCTGAAAGAATTTGGAAATCTGAAAGATCAATACTATTCCTTCTTTAAATGTTTGAGAGACCTTGCTGGTGATGCTACCTAAATCTGAAGTATGGAGGAATTTCAAATTGAGAATACTGTTGTAGACTTGTGTTCCTCCCTCACCCAATTCCTATGTTGAGGCCCTATCTCATGATATGAGTATATTTGGACCTGGGGCTTTTGGGGAAGATATAAAGGCTAAATGAGTTCTTAAGAGTCGGACCCTAATCTTCTGGAAGTGGTGTCCTTTATAAGAAGAGGAAGAGATCTTTCTCTCCCTGAACTTACAAAGGCCAGGTGAGAACACAGTGAGAAGGCAGCCATCTACAATCCAGGAAGAGAGATCTCACCAGAAACAAACCCTGATGGCACTTTGATCTTGGATTTCCGGCCTCCACAACTGTGAGAATACAAACTTCTGTTGTTTAAGCTACCCAGTCTGTGGTATTCTATCATCGCAGCCAGAGCAGACTAATACAGGTACAATTTCTGAAAATTAATACAGAATCATTCAGATAGTCTATTTCCGCTTACATCAGTTTTGGTAAATTGTAGTTTTCAAGGAAAAATTTAAAATGTCAAATAGTTTGACATAAATATTTGTTCTTAATATCCTCTTACTGTTTTTAATATCTGCAGGATGTTTCCTTTTTGATTCCTAATATTTGTACTTTCTCTTTTTCTTGGTCAGTCTATCCAAGGGCTTGTCAATTTTATTAACCTTTTCAAAGAAGAAATTATGGCCTTGTTGATTTTCTCCAGTGCACATATGTTTTCAATTTCATTGATTTCTGCTCTTATCTTCATTAGTGCCTTTTATTCTATAGATATTTGAGAATCTTGCAATGTAAAATCTGATCCCATTATGAAGCTATTTGTTTGACAATCCCTGCTCAGACACACTGAGCTTTCTATCACCATTTAAATTCTTATTCTTCAAAATGAATAGAAATCCAAGGATTACTGGGTGCTTACGGAATAACTATAAAATTTTTAAAAAGATAAAAACAAAAATTAGAAATCCAAACAAATAACTAAAAATAAAATCTGAGAGGATACAGACAATAGGAACAGAAGAAAACTTTTAAAATGTCCTTGAGATTTTTAGAAAGATAGAAGGTAATACATCCCTGAAACCAAAACAACATATTATAAGGTAATAGAGAATTTTTAAAAAGTAAAGTACAAATATAATGGTATAAATTAAATATTAAACAAAATATTTGTGTGTGTGTGTCGGGGGGTGCAGCTGAAGAAATTTTCTGGAAACTAGAATTTAAAAGTTAAAGAAAAGAATTAGAGCCCGGCTGGGCGTGGCTCAGCGGTTGAGGGTCAACCTAGGATCTAGGCTATCGGGGTTTGATTCCCGGTCAGGGCACATGCCCAGGTTGCGGGCTCGATCAATGGCTCTCTCATTGATGTTTCTGTCTCTCTCCCTCTCCTTTCCTCTCTCTGAAATCAATAAAGATATATTAAGGAAAAGAAAAGAATTAGAGGGCAAAAGATAATAGCTTAGAGGATCATTCCAGGAAAATGATTTCAACCTAGAAATTTAAATATAGGCAGACCATCAATTAAGTATGTGGCATTTTTCAGATCTGAAAAGTAGCAAAAAAATAAAAATAAAAAATCAACATTTCTCCCCGTATTAGTTTTATATTGCTGCTGTAACAAATTAGCACAAATTTAGTTGCTTAAAACAGCATAGGTTTATTATCTCAGAGTTTTGGAAATTGGAGGTCTGAAATAGGCCTTCAGGGCTATGTTCCTTCTGGAGGCTATAGAGGAGAATGTTTCCTTGCCTTTTCTAGCTTCTAGGAGTCACCTACATTCCTTTGCTCCTTAGCTCCTTCCTCCAGCCTCAAAGCCAGCAATGTAGCATCTTCTCCCCTCTCTGTCCTCTTGTCTTCTTATAAGGATGCTCGTGATTATGCTTGGCCCACCCAGATAATTCAGGGTAATTTCCCCATCTCAAGATCCTTAATTGCATATGCAAGGTTCCTTTTGCCATGGAAGAAAACACATTCGTAGGATGGAGATTAGGATAGGGACATCTTTGGGGGTGGTCATTATGCTGTCTACCACACTCTCATTTATCTTTTCTCAGGAAGGTACTGGAGGATATGTTTCATGAAAACAAAAGATTAAACAAAGAAAAAGTAAACAAGGGATCCAACACAGGAGAGCAGTATTGGATTGTAAAAGCAAACAATACTAAATGAACTAGAGTTTGTAATGCTCTAAAAGGACTATCTGGAAGGATAAAAATTAATCTACTAGATTAACTGATGTGTTTGATTGTGATGTTTTATCACTTTGGTAGTGTTTGAGGACAGATTACAAATAGGTATAAATAAATATAGCATTTATTAAGACAAAGGTTGTATTAAAAGTGAACATAATAAGGGTTGACTGATATTTACAAATGTTGATTTAAACAAAAACTGTGATATTACTATACTGAGAATTGAGGGGATAAAAACAGTGTGTGGGGGGCGCAGGGAGAGAAGAAATGTTCACACACTTACGGATGGTGTTATAAAAGAGCTTTATCATTGACTTCCATAGGAGAAAGTCAATGAATAATATCTGAGATTGAAAAAATCAAGAAATCGCAGTTTAACTATATTTCGAAATATGGAATAAATAACAGAATATTCAAAAGACTTGAAAGAATTTTCCTTTTGAGAGAATTGACAATAGAGTGAGAAATTGGGGACCACAAGGTTTTGGTTAAAAACTAAATGTGGCAGACTGTTAATGCTCACCAATATGTATATGTTTCCTTATATTTCCCAGGCTCCCTTGCCATTAAAATGGGGGCCTTAGGACTAAATTCTGGCCAATGAAATGTGGGAAAAGTGATACATGCCATTTTTAGGGTTGATCTCTAAAACTTTTTGTGATTCAGTATGTTTTCTTTCTTGGCAGATAAGCTGTGGATGCCAATCCCTAGGAGACAGCAGAACCACTAAAAAGACAAAGAAAACGGCATCCTCGAGTCTAATATTTCATTTGACTAAAAACATCCGTAATGGATTTCTTCTGAGACATAAAAGTTTATTGTATTAAACCACTGAAATCTGGGGGTTTTCTGTGACAGCAGTAAATTCACTGTGTTAGCTTAAAAAAAACATGGCCACAAATTCTTTTACAATCTTTTGAGAGGCGGTGTCTGTATCTCCTCTCCTAAAATCTGTACAGCCCTCGTGACTCAAAACCAAAGGAATGTGAGAGAAGTAACCCTATGTTACTTTTTGAGGCTAGCTCAGAAAAGGACATGTAATTTATGCCTTGTCCATTACAACATTTGACTTTGGAGCACAGGGCCTAATCTAAGAAGGCTCATTACACTGCTGTCATACTGTAAGGAAGCCCAAGGCACATGTGGAGGCTTCACAGAGGAGCTCTGCTAGCATTCAGTCTTCCCAGCTCAGTTATCAGAAAAAGCTGTCCCACTGTGACCTATTGAACACACAGTCCATAAACACAATAAAATGGTTGCTTTAAGCCACATATTTTGGAGTAATTTATTACATAGCAACAGTAACTTCAATTAATAAATCATATCATTTGTTTTGTAATCTGTGCACTTGAACTAAAGCAGTTAAAAAAGAAAAAAGGTGCGAATTATTTATTCTCGGCTTGGAGACTTTGCTACTGCTAGTTCTCTTACCCAGAAAGTTCATCTTTCTCCCTAAGGCAGTGGCTTTCAAACTTTTCAGAGAGAAACACAAAACAAGAAATAGATTTTATAAACATGACCTAGTGTATGTATGCATGTATGTGTGTATCTACATATATATATAATTTAAAACTCCATAAAGCAGTACTTAACTGCACTGATATTTCCATACCACACTGTTTCATTTTTTTTTAAAATATATCTTTATTGATTTCAGAGAAAGGAAGGGAGAGGGAGAGAGAGAGACAGAAACATCAGTGATGAGAGAGTCATTGATCGGCTGCAGCCCACAACCCGGCCTGTGCCCTGACTGGGAATCGAACCCGATCTCCTGGATCCTAGGTCGATGCTCAACCGCTGAGCCACGCCCGGCCGGGCCTGTTTCATTTTTTTTAAAGTGTAGTTTTGGCTAAATAGATTTCCTTGCTTACAAAGAGGACCTCCACCAATGGGTCCCCCACAGTCATTCCCTTGAAAAACATTACTCTAGACCGTAATCATTCTTCAAGGCCTTAGTCAAGTCCAACCAATAAACTTTCATCGTCCACTGCATTCTGAGCTGTTTTGAAAATTCCTACAATTAGCCATATTGTACTTTCTGTACTACCCATGCTTCATTCGATATGGTAACTCCTCCCGGTGAAGGTTCTGTCCTTTCTTTCTCACTTGCTGAACTCACAGTACTCAATAAATACGTTGCTCAATACCTGGCCCTTGGATTTCCAACTCCCAGTTGTTTCAGTTTGGACTGTCTTTGGATTGGCACAACAACAAAAATCTATCCGCATATTATGATTAGTTTCAAACTGGAAAAACGCACAAAGTAGTCCCAACTCTACACGGGTGTGTAGTTTTTAAGCAAATCAAACCATCAGAATGCAAATACTGCTCTTCACATCGCCACAAGTAACAGAACCAAGTTGTCATGGCTGAAACCCTTTGGAGGGACTGGTAAGAACGGAAACTCGTCCCCTAGGCGCAGCATTTTCACAACTCACTGCGGCTACACCTTGAGAGTAAATGTGAGAGCCGCGACCCGCTTCTGTGGTCCCAGAAAGGAGCTCGGGGCGAGGCCGGCGGAGCGCGAGGCCGCCATGGCCGACGCTGCCCGGCCCGCTCCGGGAGCCGTCTCTACGCCCAACGGCGACACGGCCGGGCGAGACCGGCAAAGGCGGGACTTCCCGTCTCGGCCCGCCCAGCCCTCTTTCCCGCAGGTTACCTTCGCCGCGGGCTAGGCCGAGCGGGGCCCTAGCAACGGCCGTAGCAACGGCCTTAGCAACGGCCGGGCTCCTCCCTCCGGTGTCTCCCGGAAAGCGCTCCGCCGCGTTCGTGCGCGGGCACGGCCGGGCGCGCGCCTCGGGCTCGGGCGGAGCGGAAGACGCGTGGAGCTGCGCGAGGACCCGCGCGCTGTGCAGGTCTGAGTCCCACTCCGCTGTCGTGCGGGTCCCCGCGCCTCTCTGGGGACTCGCGGCCTGGCTGGAGCCGTGGGCCTGCGGGGAGTGGACGCTCTGTGGCCGAGCGCTAGCAGAGGTCGTTCCGGGTGTCCCTGCGCGCCGCTTGCATTTTTGGGGGGGAGGTGGGGGCTGCTACGGGCCTTTGGGGAACAGGCTTCCAGGGTTTTCCTCAAAAAAAATGTCCCCCCCTAATAATTATTTTCGGTGCTTTCCGCCTCAAAGAAAGTCTGTCCTGGCAAAGTTCGTGCTCTAGGAACCCTACCTATTTTTTTTAGTGTTTGGAGTGGTTTGCGGGGTATTGGTTGTCACGGAAGGAGCGGCTTAGCACAGACATAGTCTGTCTTACATTGCAGTATCTGAAGTATTAAGGTAATGGTTACACATGCAAAGGAGTCTCATGTTTAAATTATTTGGGGGGAAATGTAGGACAAGTAAGGAAATATCACTTTAAGGTGCCAAGTCCATGGAATTGGATGATAAAAACCGATACTAAAACCACAGCGTTTAAGGGTTACTTCTGTCTGAACCCCCTTACCGCGGACAACTAAGGAAGTACAGCCTGCCCACCACATGGTGGCTGGTCTTTGAGAGGCGCCGTTGGTCCGCTATGAAAAAGGTGATACCTTGGAATTTAAAAAATGAATGTGGGATCTATATATGTTATGTGACCAGGCTCTTAAAAATACTCCAGAAAAGAAATATTTGAAGTGGGTTTTATCAAAAACTACAATACAGAATAGGGGAGTCTTATATAATGTTCCATTGGGAGGTGAGTCAACTTACTTGTTTGTAGCTATGAGCCTTTTCCATGAGTATTGTTTTGCAAAAGAAAGGTCTGCCAGGCTGCCCATAAAATTTCAATGGTACCTCGGTTATCCAATGTCTCCGTAGACGAACATTTAGGTTTACAAATGCCGTAAACCCGGAGGTAAATGCTTCGGTTTTCGAACACGCCTTGGAAGTCGAACATGCCACACGGCTTCTGCTGAGGGCAAGATCTTGAGGCCTAGCTGTCAGCTGTTGATCCCTCTGTTTTCAAACGTTTCAGAACTCGGTCTTCCAGAACGGATTACTTTCGAAAACCAAGGTAGCACTGTAGTTTGCCAGGAACTTCAGCAGCAAGATGCATACTGTATGCTTTTTTATTTTTCAGAATGGTTTTGATTTAGTTAATAAGTGTTTGATGACTTCCTCCTGCTGCATTAGACTCAGGGATAGGTAAGATCAGTAAACAGTCCTGCTCTTGCAGAGTTGACTGTCTGCTAGGGTGGATAGCTTCACTCAAAGGTAACTCCAAGTTAAGGTACATTTTTCCATGTTAAATATGTAAAATCACTAATAAGTGCACAAAAGTGGAGATGTGAGAGATTGTCATAGCACATCTAGGGTCCTGATTTTGAAACTAAGAGAGGATGATGTGCAGTGTAGAATTGATGCAACTTAGTGAGTAGTTTTGGGGGGAAAAGTGTAGGAGGAGGATTTGTTTTCAATCTTTTAAGTTGCAGAATGATGGATATACCAGCTAGTTCCTAAAGATTTTTTTTATGTTTTCTAAGTAAGTCCCACAACTCTACTTGTATTTCCCTGCATGTATTTGGTGTTAATAAGTATGTTTTGAAGGTTTTGAATCATCATGTTTGCAGCACATTATTTGTACACATTTGAGGCAGGCTCTTGGCTACGTCAGAACCGATGCTCTGGTCGTATGGTTTCGGAGACCTTTGGAGGTAGCTGCCCATGACTTACTAGTGCTGGCCCCTTCTGTGTGGCCACATCAGCCATAGGTGAGAGTATGTAGGTGAGGCAGGGGAGGGAGGGAGCCATAAACATGTCCCTTTCACTGTCTCACAGGTATTTATGTTTAATTTTTGGAGGGAAATGATGTTTATATAAGAGTCCACTAATACCCATTTAGTTAAATGAATGGAAGCCCAAGTATTGAGATTTCTGAGGCATCTCAAGAGGAGTGCATTTTGAGAGCCCTAGAAAAATGCACCAGTAGTTTTACATTGAATACCCAGGGAAATAAATTAGATCAATCCTGTTTTTTTTGTTTTTTTGTTTTTTTAGGACAAGCCCAGTGATCGAGGTAATTCAAGACACTTACAGCCTAAAAATGGTTCTCTGTAAGGACCTCAGGCAACACCAGAACAAACCCAAACCTAGACTTTTAAGGTGGCTCCTGTCTTTACATGGAGTTTTTTATCTTAGTCAGGATTTCTTTATCTGGATCTCTAGATGAACTCTACTGATCTGCAAACCACCTGAAATTGTGAGCAAAATATTGTGTCTGTATAATGCATTTTCTACCAATAAGGTCCAAGACTCTCATGTGACCTTAAAAGGATCTGTGACTCAAGAAAAGGTGGCAGCTTAATATCCTGTACTGTCCTAGTCATTGAGGGCATATTCACAAAGATAGAAGCCATTTTTAGGTAGGTAATTTGGTGTTGCGGGGACAGTAGATAATGTTTTCCATTTGTGAAGCAGGAAAAAGTGATTGGACTATCATTTTGAAATATCACTTTCTCTGAAAAACCCAAAATGTCAATCTGTACCTAATCAGTACACATCAAAAATATTATACAATATTTTTATTTTTCCCCTTTGGGTAAATTTGGCAAGTATATTTTCCTTTTCCTTTAATGACCATCATTGTTTTTCTCTGCATTTCTTTTTTGAGTCTCAAGCTCACTGAGATTTAAAATCTATTAAAAAACTCCTGATGAGTAATTAAATTAGTATCACTAACTTCTTATTAGTAAATTATCTTGTATGTTATGTTCCACTGGACTTTTTCTTCATTTTCTGTTTGGGAGATCTCGGAAAGTTTCCTGTTGCAGTCAGTCAGTGTTTGTACTCAAAGTGCCCAGAGCCTCGTGGTTAAACATCACAGTGCCATAAGACTTTATAATAGGAGAATCATTTTACAGCTTTGGAATGCATATCAAATCAAAAGGGCCCCAGTCTCTTTTCTACCCAAAAGATATGTGGTTACAGAGTATTTAAATAATAGTTTTGGCAGCCATTAACCTTCTTTGAAGGAAATATTTAAGTGGGAAAGTTATTTTACTATTTTATCTCTAGAACTAAGAATCTGAATGGTATAAAAAAAAAGCAGTAGGAATTCTTAGAGTGAGTGCACATGAATATAAAACTTTAAATTTCTAAGATCACACTTTATTTTTCAGGGCATATATTTTACCTTTTGGGATATCTTACAAATAATAATTGGTAGTAGATGCATCTCATATTTTAATGGAAGTTTATTTAGATATATGTGTGTGTGTGTGTGTGTGTGTATATATACATATATATATCTATTTTTTTTAAATCCTCACCTGAGGATATTTTTTCCATTGCTTTTTCAGAGAGAGTGGAAGAGAGAGAGAGAGAAACATCGATGTGAGAGACACATCGATTGGTTGCCTCCTGCACGTGCCCTGACCAGGGCCATGGATTGAGTCTGCAACTGAGGTGTGTGCCCTTGGTCAGAATCGAACCTGGGACCCTTCAGTCCATGGGCTGATGCTCTAACCACTGAGCCAAACCAGCTAGGGCTAGTTATATTTTTTATGTGTGTTTTAAGTTGGACAGGAATATGTCCTTTAGAACATAACCAACTAAATTTTACTGATTACATTGGAACCCTGTATTTTCATTAGAGTTCTGGTTGAGAGTAGGTGTCATCTAATACCAATTCAAAGAGCCTATAGGGTTGAATACATTCCTGGCTAATACTAACATTAACCCAATGCATTCGTAATACAAAACAAAATTACTGTCTTTGGAACAAAAAGAGTCACTGAAAAATGGATTGTTAGTACCCTTTATATTTGAAATAATATCTCTATGAGAACACTCTTCTATTTTTATGGGGGGGTGGTTCCAAAGGGTAATTTATTATTTTGAGTTTATTGCATTTTAATTTTGTATGTTCAATACATTTAATTTTTAAAAGTATGATAACTTAGTCATTTAAAAAACTTATTAACTTTTATTGATAAATACTAGAAACAGCACACAGTTGTGAATTAAACTGAGTAATTTTCTTTATGGAGACAATGAGTAAAATGTTTTGTTTTTATTTTGCTTCCCACTATTTTTTTTTCCAGTGCACCAATGATAATGTGTTTTAGAAATGGTTGTTAAACTTTGATTTGAGTGAAAAATGTCTCTCAATCCACCTATATTTCTCAAAGAAAGCGAAGAAAATAACTCAAGATTTGTGGAAATACAACAGTCACAAACTACTTCCATAGCTGCGGAAGATCCTCTTCAAAACTTACACTTAGCATCTCAAGAAGTTCTTCAAAAAGCTCAGCAAAGTGGGAGATCAAAATGCCTTAAATGTGGTGGTTCAAGAATGTTCTACTGCTATACATGTTATGTCCCAGTTGAAAATGTACCTATGGAACAAATGCCGCTTGTGAAGGTTAGTAAGAAATCTAATTGTTTGAAAGTAGAAAAATAGATTTTAAAAAGACATCTCATACTTGCTTGTTCTAATGTAATTGATAAACTTGATAAATAACATCATTAGGAGAATGAATTATATGAATAGAAATTCAATCCTAAAGACTGGTAAACCTATTTGTTTTTCTTGTCTCTGGAAAAAGTGATGCACATTGCCAAAACACTTGGGGCTGACATGAATGGTATTGTTTTTAATGAAATCAATTGATTTTTAAGTTAGTGATTATAATTCATTTACAACATAGAAAAAATGTGGTATAAACATGAATACCATAAGAGACAAGTTTATAGACTGCCTGAAGGAGCTTCAAAAACTACCTCAGGTCCTTGGACTGCTCTGAGAAAACATCCCAAAGGAATTAGGCAGGGTTCATTTTTGTTTAGGCTTTCGTAGGATAAATGGGCTTAGCTTCATCCTGTACATGAACATGGAGCATGTCAGTGAATAAAAGGAAACTAAACTAAAATTGAAAAGACTAAGACCTACTCATTGGGCTGTGTTATAAATTGTAGTGATTTAAAGCCAGATTTAAAAAATATATTTGAATAGATTGCTTAGCTTATACTTTTTGTTGCTTACCAATACTACTTTTCTATAGGTAAAAGGTCTATAGACCATCACGTCTACATAATCAAAGAATTAATTACTTGTATGTTAACATGTTTAACAGTAACCTGGCATTTAGGTGTAAGTCAAATGATGTGTAAAATTTGACTCCTACCTATTAGGATTGTAGTGAGACTAAACTCTAGACAGGGGCTCATTAGAACTGGCTAGAAAGAAAATAAGTTGTAACTAATCTGAAAAACATTTAATGTGGTGATTTTAAGGTTCATTAAATTTGAAATAAGCATACTTTAATACTCATATTTTGTTACTTGAGTTTCAGTTTAGCCTATATATCATCTTGGCAAGTCCACAGTCTTCTCAGGGACCTAAAACTCTAACTCAAGAAATGCAAGATGATATTATTTTTGCATAGAGAAAGGATATAATCAATAATAAATAATTAAACTTTAAGGTAAATAGGCAAAGTGATTTTGAAGAGAGTTCTTTTTTACATGTAGAGTGTACCTTCTAGACCTATTCTGTTACTATTTTTTTCAATGGATAATTATCTCATTTGTGCTATTAAAGGGCATTTCTGAGAATGATGATACTTAAAACTAAGGATAATACCTTCAACCTCAAGGGATATACAAGGATCAACATTTTAACTTGAATTTTAGATCTGAAACTTTGCCCAGACTTTTATTTCCTTTTATGTATCACAAAGAGAAAAAATCTGAAGTTTATAGGAATTATAAAAAATACCCTTGGCACAGATACTGAAATGCAAGGAATTGGACTCAATGGCTTTGTAACTTAAATGAAAATGACATTGGAGCTTTGTTTCAAGAGCAGATTCTCTGTTAAACTTGTTTTTGTTTTTTGTTTTTAAATATATCTTTATTGATTTCACAGAGAGGAAGGGAGAGGGAGAGAGAGAGATAGAAACATCAATGATGAGAGAGTCATTGATCTGCTGCAGCCCGCAACCCAGGCATGTGCCCTGACCAGGAATCGAACCCTGATTGCCTGGATCCTAGGCCGACGCTCAACCCCTGAGCCACGCCCGGCTGGGCTCTGTTAAACTTGTTAAAATAGTTCTATCATATGATTAACAATATCGTGGAAGAAATTTGGATTTGCTTTATGACTCTTATTCTTAATATCCTGGGTAGAAATGTATGACTTTCAAACCATAGGTATATTTATGGGAATGTAGTGTGAGCTTACTGTTGAAGCTTTAAAGATCATTTTTATTAACATAAAAATTAGAATTTTTGTATTTGCTTTGTTAACTTGTCTTTTTTTTTTTTAATTGTAGCTTCCCTTGAAGATTGACATCATTAAACATCCAAATGAAACAGATGGCAAAAGTACAGCTATACACGCAAAACTCTTAGCCCCTGAATTTGTAAATATTTACACATACCCTTGCATTCCGGAATATGAAGAAGAGGACCATGAAGTAGGTAGCTTATTTTTTACAACTGTTCACATTGAATCTAAAAATGAATTTTAAATTCCAGTACCTTTCTGAACTTACGTGAACACAATTTAATATATTTCTTAATGACTAGGGTTATCCTTATGCTGCACTAGACAACATACCCTTTACTCCATTGGTGTCTGAAAAGATCAGAAGATTCTAGATTTGTTAAGCTTCCTTGAGTCTTTCCACATTTTATCATTTTTCTGCATGATTTCTTTAAGTTTTTACACTTTGCCAGTATTATTATGCCTGCTTTTCCTTTCTACCCCCCTCTTTTTCCTGCCTATGCTGCATATAGATGGTCTGATTTGATGCAAACTGAGAAACCAGATTACAGGCATTGTTGGAACTTTTCCCAAAGAAGAAAAACTGAATTAAAAGGATTTTCAGGAATTTTCCCTAAATTAAGAGCTTTAGTATGTGGCCTTTGTAACATTTTTTTTTTTGTCTGCTCAGAGGCTTTCCTTGCTCATTTCTAGATTCTTAATTGGTTTTCACATAGTTGGAATTTCATATTGTTGAGATACTAGTGGCCTTGTTGAAAAGTAAGGTTGCAATAGATCTCAAAAAGAGGTAGGCATTGGGTACTTCTTAAAGCTTGTAAACCAGGGGTGGGGAACATCTGGCCTCACCAAAGAGAAGCAGTTCCAGCCATCACAATAGGGGTGAGTTAATTAAATGTTTGACCAAATATAGCAGGCTAATTTTTAAGTTCATAATTTTATATGGCCCTTGGCAGAAAAAAGATTACCCATCCCTGTAGGTAAATCCTTTTAGATATATTGGGGATCAATGTTGGTAGTGCTAATCAGAAACAAAATTAAAAATTAATATACTGCATACTCACTTGTTCTAGAAAGAACTCAATTTTTCCTTTTTTATCAGTATATTTTTTATTTAGTTTATATAGAAAGTTTATTTGTAAATAATATCTGAGTTTTGGATCTAGGAATATATTTGCATTTCCTTCTCTGGTCAGCTAGGTATCATTTATGTTAATTAAATAGAACACAGTGTCAGGTTCAATAGAGAGATGTGATATGCTTATAATGTAAGAAAATTTAGAAACCCTGGACTTTGCTAATTGAGTATGGGGGGAGTATTGGCATGGATTGTGAATGTTTAAACAACTTGTATAACTGAAGTTTATAAATTCAAGATTTTTTGTTTATTTTATTTTTATAATGCTTATTTTTTATATTAAAAATGATGCTCATTAAAGAAAATTTGGGAAATACAGAAAAGTATGGGGATAAAGTACTCATAATTCTACCACCATTTATTCATTTCACAAATATTTACTGGGTAACTGGAACCATTTAGACATTGGAGACTCTTGGAGTATGTCATATCTCAGTAAAATGCTGAAAGGAAGTTAGGTTTTTTAGTTTTAATTTTTCACTGTAATAAATATACTTTAACAAATACAGGGTGTCCCAAAAAATGTATATACACTTTAACAGCTGATAGCTCAATTTTGAAAATGAAATGTATTTTAATAAACACTTCCTTTATAATTATTCAAAGTGTGTGTATACATTTTTGGGGGGACGTCCTACATTACAGTGTGGGGAGCCTATGGGTATTTAGGATTATTTTGTTAAATTCCCATAAGTGAAATTATTTGATCAAAGTGTATGAACATTGCCAGACTCTTGATTTAAGTTGCTTTCATGAAGAGTTGCACTTTTTAAACCTGCCATGAGTAATGGCTATAAAGGCCTGTTACACCATTTCCTTACCAGTATTGACTGTGTATCATTTGTTTGGTCTTTGTTTATTATATAGGTGAAATTGGTATTTAATTATTGAGTGCTTTTCAATGGTTCTTTTACAAAATATCACACACTTTGCCTTTGATCTTACTAAATATTATAAGGTTTAGTTTTCTGTTTCAAGGTACAATTAACTTGGCTTCTATCCACAGGTACATAACTTACTTTGAAATAAAACTTTTAGATAGTATATTATGATTGTAAATTACTTAGGAAGAGTCAAAAACTTTACCATACATATTAAAGAAGTGCATGTAGTAGAACCTAATGCTTGTTTCTTAGATATTCAGTGTATTTTTTCTCTTACAGTTTTAAGTCAGTTAGAATTTATTCATTTTGAAGATCATAATCACACACTGTTAACTTAAGTTTCTTTGCTTTAGGTTGCTCTCATTTTTCCTGGGCCTAAGTCTGTCTCAATTAAAGATATTTCTTTTCATCTGCAAAAAAGGATTCAAAATAACCTTAGAGGCAAAAATGATGACTCTGACAAGCCATCTATTAAACGCAAGAAAACCGAAGAACAGGATTTAGATGACAACAAGTGTAAAGAGACATCACTGAAAAAAATTATATTTATAGATAGCACTTGGAACCAAACAAACAAAATATTTTCTGATGAGAGACTTCAAGGTAAGAAATAAATTATTTTTGTATTATTCCTTCCCCCAACTCCCATTTCATAAAACTTCAAACCTACAGATACCTTAGAAGAAGAATTGCATTAACTATCCACACACCTTCCCACACTTGCTTTATTTCTCTTTTCCTATTATATGTGTGTGTATACTTAGGTATATATTTTTTGGTTGAACCCTTTGAAAGGAAGATGTAGGCTTTATAACACTTCACCCTTAAATACCTGTGTACATCTTTTAAGAATAATTGCATGATCATAATATCATTATCACATTAATATTAACAAAAGCTCTGTGATGTCTCATATAGTCCAAATTCACATTTCCTTAATTGACCTAAAAATATCTTCTGTAGCTCTTTTTCCTCTGATGTAGTATGTAAACTCACATTTCATTTGGCCGTGTCTCTTCAGTCTCTTTTAGTGTAGAACGGTTCTACACTATGTAAAACAGTGTTTTTGTTTCCATAACTTAGACTTATGGGAATCGGACAGGTCAGTTGCCTGAATGTTTCATCATGATTAGATTCAGTTTAAATGTTTTTGCAAAGGTCCTTATAGATAAGGGTAAACCCGGGGTTGTCCATGACAGTTCCAGGTCATATCTGTTGTTTTGGTATAATTATTAATAACATCCCTTTTTACTCTCAGAAATGAAGCTGTTCAGCTGATAAATTATATGATTACGCTATTCATAGGTGAAGTTGTTTACTTATTATTGCATCAAAACAGGAGACATATAATATAAGTTGTTCCATTATTGGTGATATCTGGCAATCACCTTTGTCCAAGTATTTAAAGTTCTCTTCATTAGAAAGATTTATTTTCTTCTTAGAAATCAGCAGTAGTCTGTTGGGTGATGCTTTGAGACTATGGACTGTATATTTACCAACTGCTTTTCACTAAGATATTTTAGTATTCATTGATGACGCTTTTCTAAATCAGTAATTATACTGAGAATTACAAAATGATGAAATTTTTATTTTATTTCTTCTGCATTTGCTAGCTGGTATTCTTAAATAAGGAAGAACTTTTCCTCCCTCCCCTCTTTTGTCCTCTCCCCTTGCCCCTACCATTTATGACATCTCTGTGGTCTGATAGATGTCTTTTTAATTCAATTTATTATAATCTATCATGATTATACTTTTTTGATGCCCAAATTGTCTTAAATGTTGCTCATGGGAGCCCTTCAAGTCTTTGTGGCAGGGCCTCATTAGTCTTTCTGGTACAGCACTTTTTCCTTCCTCAGACCTAGAATCAGTCATTCAAAGTTTACTTATACTTTTCTCCTGCCCCAGACCAAGAATCAATCGTTCAAAGGAGCTGTCTTTCTTTTTAATGGGGAATGATATTAGAAACCAAGATCTGGTAAATTTATTACTGTTTGGATGTCATTGCTTCAGTGCACAGAGCCAAGAAAAATAAATGTGTGTGTGTGTGGGGGGGGGGGGGG